GTAAATTGGGTTTTCAAATAGACTTAAATTTTGAGAAATAAAATTTTTGAAAACTAAAATTTGAGATTTTTTACAAAAAAAAAAAAAAAGTTAATTTAAACTCAAAAATTTTGTAAGCAGTTTCTTTGGTAAACAATTTTTTATAGCCCTCAACATTCCCTCTGTAACAAACTAAAAAATTCGTATATTATTATGATAGTTGTCAAAATATTAAGAAAATGAACTTGAAAATTTTTTAAATTGTGAAATTTTTAATTTTGCATAACTTAAGAAAAAAACGTCTCAATAAAAAGGGAACGAGTCCAATTATTGGTTAATTCAACATGGACAGACTTATTTTTAAATATTTATATATATGCAATTTATTTCTTACAATAATCCAATGGAATTACTATTGCCGTAAATTTTGAGTTTAAATATAAATATTAATAAAAAATTAATATTTTTATGTATTTCTTTATTCAATAGTTCAATTTCAGATCGTAAATAGTAGTAGATAAGTAGTCGATTATTTGTCTGAACTTCACTTTACATTATTTCGCAAAATGAATTAATGATACATTTTCAGACATCATCAACTTCTTCGTTAGTTTAGCCCACAATAAATACAGGCATAACATTTACTATTATTATTGATAGTTATTAATTTCAGTTATAATGACTTGGTTATACATTTTTCCAAAATTGAATTTTTGAATCATGAATTGCATAAAATTTCATACGCAACACGTCGGAAAAAGTTGCATTTCTAGTATTGTTATTTTGTTTTTCAAAATTTTCCTCTAGCTGTATAACAACAGAATAGGAAGAAATTTTCATCACCCTTACTGAGCTTAGACGCTAATTTCTCCCTTTTTGCTCTCGTGTAACTCGACGCAGCCTATCGGTTTGTTCTAAAATTCAACCGTACTATAATTTGCGATTATTCCGACTTGTAGCATAAATATAGCTATTAGTGTTGTGACAATCAGGTATTAATATTTAAATTTGTACAATCGCATACTAGTCATTCAACGTCATTGATTAATCGTCCACCAATAATTAATCAACCGAAAAATTAATTAATCGTAATGAAAAAAAAAATACTTTTATTTATATCAACTTTTTTAGTTTACAGTAAATTTTTGATGATGACAATTGATTTTTAATTATAATATAAAAATAAAATATTTTAGTAGTTAAATACACATTTGGAAAAAATGAAATTGATTTATTTTTTATTAGTAGAAACTCTTTAATTAATTAGATAACATGGATTGTTGGATTATAATTAATTTCGATGCTACACAACACTAATAGCTATTATCAACTAGCAACGCAAATAACTATAAATTACGTTGGCTCAAAATATTGACTAACTACAGAATATGAGATCACGCTTATCAGTAAGTCAGACAAACTGATGATTTTTGGTTATTTTGATATAATTTCACGTTAAATTTACATTATATCTTTACAACACTACTTTGTTTAATTAGTTTAATAATATTATTTATTGTTGTCAACCACCCTGAATTTGTCAATAAAATATTCACCGAACAAAGTATTTTACAATGGGCATTTGGAAATTGCAATTTGATTTTATATTTAAGATATCAAGTAAAACTAATACCAGCAAATTTAACAGAATAAAAAAATCACGCAATATTGAAATAATATAACTTTTGTCTGATTTACAGTAATTGAACGGATTCTCATATAAAATAAAATTTCACAAATTCTACATGAATACGAAATTAATTTGATGATGTAGATATTTGAAGCTATATTTCAGTTAACAATTATCTGATACTACTTCATTTTACCAAATGATTTGTATCGATATAAAATTGTAATTTAAGTATGGCCGGTAGTATTTTAATTTTTTTTTTAACATATCTATTATATCCTTTACATAAATTTATGGTTACGCTTAATTAGGTATGATTAGTATGAATTATAGTTATTATATAATTGATTCAAAATTAATACGGGCTCATTATCATCAATTATCATGAATCATGACTTTTATTACAACTTAAAAATCAATCTTTAATTCGTATTTTTACCCGCTCAATTTTTTGAGTATATTTGTTTCTTTTCTTTTTTTTTTTATAATTAATTTTATAATTTATATTGCAAAGTTCGCCTAACTAAGTTTAAAGGACTCGATGAAATTTTAATGTTTCTTTTATCAAAAAACATTTTCTCATTAATTTTATTTGCGAAGCATAGTAACTTACTTTATCTTACAATATCATATTAAAGTACGACGACTATGATAAAACTATCAAAAACGTGCGCATATGTTACGATAGAAACATATGGTTTATAATACCAATAATAGAGAATAACAATTAATTAATTAAGTATTTTTAGACTCATAAATTAAAATTTATGGTGCATAAACAATACAGATCGAAACGTTCTCAGCATTTATTTACTTTCACATTAGTTATCTTTGGTGTGTACTTAAACAATTAAATTAAAAATTTACAATTAGTTTATGAGTTTATTTTATATCAGATGGTTCCGTTATTTAAATAAATAGCTTTTTACTTAATTACCAAAACCATTTTTTCATCGCGCATTTATTTATGTAATATACCATTCTTTTCAGTAAGTCACAGGATATGTTTATTGAGAAAATATACCTTAAATACTACGTAGTATTGTAGAGCCTCCTCATAATTTTTTGAATTAATACGTAACATTTTATAAATATCAGTTTATGATTGCACATTAGTCCCAATAAAATTTTAACTGGAATTTTATATATATTTATATTAGAGTGGTCCTTCATTTAATAATTTTAGAACTTACAGTAACGCGCCCTTTAGATCCACTTTTTCAATATCACGTCACAGATGCCGTGAGTACGTATAAAAAAAAATTCAAAAGTAGAAAAGTTTTTATCCCTTATTTTCATTCTTTTTAATAATTATGTCACGTTTTCTTGACATACCTCGGCTTATTCCGAACGATATTAGCTATATATGTGCAAAATTTTAAATTGATTCATTTTATTAAAACTCATGACTTTTTGAAACACGTATTAAGGGGGCCAATAGCCACTGTGACAAAAAAAATTCCCGAAAATCACTCTTTTTTTTTCGGCCACTGCAGCGACTATCCCCCTTGATATTAAAATCAATAGCTTTAATTTAAAAGGTATCAAAAAAGTGGGTAAGAAGAATTGTTAAAATCACTAAAATAAGGACCACTCTGAGGTATCTAATATATATATATATATATATATATATATATATAAAACAAAAAAGATTTCTTTTCTTAAAATTTATGATGCAAATAGTAATACATAAAAAAAAAATTTTTTTCGATCGAAAAAAGAATATTTTTTTCTTTAATATCTTAAGGTGTCTTGTTAATTTTAAGAATTAAGAGTAAATTTTAAATTATAATTATGTTTAATTAAGACTTGGTAACAATGGTAGGCGCGATCCTTGTTACAGAATAAAATCAAAAAATCTTTGTAAATCATAATTAATCTGCTATTATAAAATACATTTTTAAAGACTTAGTATTTGAATCAAGAATAAGGAATTCGTACAATATAAATGATAACCAGTATTAGTAGATTTCATAAAAATCTAACTATTGCATTTGTCCTCATGATGAAACTTTTGAAAAATTTTGCTATATTTCGACTCAGCTCGTCATCCTGATTCAGAAAATACATATGGTTCAAAAGTTTATATATGTATGTATATATACGATATAACGCGGCTTGTGTCCACCCTAACTCTTACGATTCTTAACGGATCTTTATAAAACTCAGCATATATATTCTCCATACGATTGTCGAAATCAAGTTTAAATTTGAGCGGAATCGATTGATTAGTTAAAAAATGCCAGCAGCTTGAAATTTTTGTAAATTCAAAATTTATCACTTTTACTACTTTTTCCCCAAATAACTTTTGAACAAAATTTTTTCTTTTGGTTTCTATAAATTTCATGCCAAAGCCAGTAAAATAGGCTTTAATTTACATAAGATAAAAATCCCAGTACCTGCTCACTCCATGTATTTGTATATCTATATTCAAAAATGCAGATATACAAATACATGGAGTGAGCAGGGACTGGTTCCTGAGCAGCTAATGGGGCTCTTACCTTACCTGCATCAATTTCTAACATGAAAATTTTCCATATCTTTAATCAAATTTTACTATTGCATTCGTTTTGATTTATTTTTGATATACTTAATTTTATATTTCTTCTTAAAAAATTCACTTCATTTATTTATTATTATTAATAAATGTAGCTATTAATGGAATCTACTTCTATTTCGGCTGCCGAATGGCCTTTTTTACAATTTAACTTCGCTCCTCTTACATATATTAGTATTCTTTCTCCTACTAATAATTTGGAGTTTCACTCCGGGGAATCGGAATACAAATAAGTAGTAAGATAATGATTTCAGTGATAATTTAAGTAGTAAAAATCGCATAAAAATTTGATTTTTAAGTATAAACAATTTATTTTTAAAATTGAATATAACAATTTTTAAATGATATACTCAAAAATAGAAAAATGGTGACTTTATGTAAGTCATTCATTAAAGTTTTTCGTTCCGTTTGCCGTATAGCCGTTTTCAGTTACTTTTTTCATAAGTGCATAACGTCAAAGATTTTTGTTTGTAAATATAAGTTTTCTTCAAATCTTATTGTACATATATAAGCGGAGGTTTTTTTAGCTTTATTAATTCTTTCAAAACAAAAATTTTGAATTTACTATGAAGTATAAACCATAAGTAAAAACCAATGTGATACCTTAAGATATTGAGAAAAATTTTTTTTTGTCACTCATACCCCTTCTGTTTTAATCATTTTATATATATTTTTTTTCATAAAAATAAGAAAAAACAAAACATTACATTCCTTAATCATTCAAGCAGAAAAATACTGTTATTTTATAACAACGACACCACTATAAACTCACTGTATACTATTCCAGAAACTAGCAAAACTAGTGCGTAATTCCGTGCGAAAATTCTGATAGTATCACGCTATATTATTGCCACTCATTGTTGTGACACATTTTTTTTCTGGTGTATTTTGACTTTCTGAATTGCTACGCACAGTTTTAGATGGACTTCCAGGCGTCGGTGTTACATCACCAGCGATTGAATTATTGTTGTTTGTTGAAGTAGAGCTTCTTCGACCGTTTTCGTGAGTTGGAGATTTAACATCGAATGCTGACGTTTCAGATTCAAGGTCTGAATCAACCTAATAAAAAATACAATTTTAATTAGAATAATAATAGTAGAAAATTTTCTCTCTAATACTAAAATTGACAAAAACCTCTAATAGTGAATATTTGATTAAACAATGATATTTGCTATGTAATATGAAAATGACGTGTGAAAGTAGACTTAATGAAGATGATTGCAATGGTGATGTGATACCTTGTTAAAATAAACTACCTGTCTGGTAGTAGGATGAGGGCTGAGGAAAAGTCTTTCACTTGTGTCACTGCCACAACTTGAACTTTCACTCATTTCTGTAGTGAATTTACGAGATGCCCTAGGACTTGGTGGTGCTGCTCGACTTTGACTACCGAGAGCCATCCCAATATTCCTAGAGCATACTTGAGATTGTATATGCTCACATACCCTTCGAAATCGTCGTATATTTCCTATAACATAACAATACGCTTTTTATTTTAATTTTTGAGCCTTAATTTTATTATATTGTGAGGTATAAATATTTTTGTTTATATTGAAATTAATAGATTTACTACATACGTATATACACAGAGAAATAATTTAAACTGTCATGAGATTATTTTTTTTACGATTATCTATTCATTCAAAAATGATTTTTTCTCAAAAGTTAAACTGATGGTCAATTTCACATTTTTTTTTATTTCACGACAAAACTAATTGTTTAGTAATAAAAATAATAATTTTATCAGAGTCTATTCTTTCTGAGTCTTTTTTCTGTTTTTTAATTTCTTGTTTTTAGCGATTCACGTAAATAAGATCGTAAAATTAATCATAACCATACATGTATGCATACAGACTTGCCAAGAAAATATTGATCTGCTGATATTTGGTTTAATTCCAATTGTCAAAAAAATAGTATAAAAAATAGTATTCAAACTAAATAGAATAAATTTTTAGCTGCCTTGAAAAAAAAATTTTCATTTTTATTTTCATAGAATATTTTTTTTGAACGAAATTTTCAAAAAATTCATAAAAGCTCTAGTGAAGATGTTGAAAGGAAGTTTTAATGGTGAAATAAATTGTAATTATTTTCAGAATTTTCAGTAATAACAACGATCTTTTTAAACAACCAGAAGAAATTCTCAATCAATGTTTTTGGCTCGGAATATCATTTTGCTCTAGAACAATTTTTTTTAACCCAAGAAAAACTTATGATTAAGAAATTACTATGTCTAAAGCTACACTAGTTCAAAAATATTTTCTGAAATTAAGTCAACCTTTTTTTTTCCGAGATTATGAATTTTTAATTTAATACAAAAAACCGCGTTTCTCAGAAGGAGAAAAGTCCAGTTGGAATATACTGAATTGTTCCACTTTGATTAAAAAGTTAACTAGATTAAAAAAAAAAATCTTGTACTAAGAAACTGATTTCGAAGAAACTTTTGAAGAAAAAATTTTCTGGGTTCAAAAACTTTTTTTTTAATTCAAGATAATCAATTTCTTTTGAAGCCTATCTTAGTTTGAGATTTTTTTCTTGTGTCAACTTAAATTTTTTATCATCATAAATAATTCATATGGGTCATTCCATGTCAAATCGACCAATAGTTGGAATCAACCCCTTTCAATTTGGATGAATTTTGCTCAGAAGTTTTCTTTTATCATGAACGAAGTTCTGACAAAGGAAAATAAATAAAAAATTTTTTTTTCGAAAGATATGCAAATTCAAAATTTCGCGATTTTTCCAGTTTTTCAATTTTGTTTTTGCAATATCTTGAATGCTATTATAGATACAGGAATGGTCTTTCGTTTGTTTGAAAGGGGACACTTGGGGCTGTTGAAAAAAAAATATTTTGGAAAAAAATTTTGAAAAATGCCAAATTTTTAATTTTTGAAAATCGTCAAAAATGAAGAGCGCCATTAAAATTTCGGCTCAATTTTTTTTGTATGATACCTTGTACTGATCTTAAAAGATCCTGAAATTTTTGGAAAGGGGTTTTTTTGTTTTCAAAAATATGAATTTTTGAATTTCAAAAAAAAAATTTTTTTTGTTTTTTGCAACTTATATATAAGGTAAAGTTATGCAGATACATAATATTGTAATTTTGAGCATTACATGATTTTAAACATTTTGCTACTCCATTTATTGCAATCAAGAATAGGATTGGACCTAGAATTGAACCTTGAGGAACACCTGATGTTGTGTCTACTGATTTTGAGGCAACGTTTAAGTCGTTTAAAACTGATTGGGATCTTCCTGTGAGATACGATCTAAACCATTTTATCACATCAATTGAGAAACCCATTTCATACATTGCGACGAACAATACTTTAATGCATGATAGAATTTGTTAATTGTCCTTTTTTTACTTCATTTGAAGTTGTTGACGTCACTTGTCGTCTTTTAACATGGGAATAAATTGTAATTTGAGATTGAGAATTATTAATGTGCAGAAATTCGTAAGTAAATACGTATTCGAAAGAACGAAAAAAAATTGATACTCTCATGAAATTATTTCTAATTTTCATAGAAAATTAATATCTATTTGAGTTATAACTCAAATATATTTGAGGTTAAAAACTGTAATTGAAGTGAAGAAACGGACAAAATATATCATGCGTTAAAAAAATAAAAAATTATATCATGCGTTAAGCCTGACTTTAAGATTATGTCTAAAAAGTAAAAAAAAGTTGAAATTAATTTATTATTTAATATTTTCACGTCGTGCATTTGATTTTTAAATACTCAAAATTACAATATTATATATCTGCATAACTTTACCTTATATATAAGTTGCAAAAAACAAAAAAAAATTTTTTTTTTTAAATTCAAAAATTCATATTTTTGAAAAAAAAACCCCTTTCCAAAAATTTCAGGATCTTTTAAGATCAGTACAAGGTATCATACAAAAAAAATTGAGCCGAAATTTTAATGGCGCTCTTCATTTTTGACGATTTTCAAAAATTAAAAATTTGGCATTTTTCAAAATTTTTTTCCAAAATATTTTTTTTCAACAGCCCCAAGTGTCCCCTTTCAAACAAACGAAAGACCATTCCTGCATCTATAATAGCATTCGAGATATTGCAAAAACAAAATTGAAAAACTGGAAAAATCGGGAAATTTTGAATTTGCATCTTTCGAAAAAAAATTTTTTATTTTTTTTCCTTTGTCAGAACTTCGTTTGATGATAAAAGAAAACTTCTGAGCAAAATTCATCCAAATCGAAAGGGGTCGATTCCAACTATTGGTCGATTTGACATGGAATGACCCATATACATAAGTTCTTAATAAGTTGATAAAAAAATGATTCTTTTGATGGAAAATGATTAATACCTTAGAATTGATGAAATTTTTTCAAATGCAAAATGGAGTTCAAATTCATTTTTAATCGGATAAATAAAATGTTTATTTTTTGAAAAAACATTTTTTTTTTTTTTTTCAATTTTAGGGCCAGTTTTTCAATCCGAGATAAAATTACTGCCATTATGATAAAAAAAATAAATAATTTAGTACAGTGATATTGCCTACGAGTAATTCTTCTTGAATTCAGTCACTTATTTTGAATTAAAATAAATAAACATTAGTCACATGTCACAGAAATATTCACCTCCAACTGTGACAACTTCCTGATTATAAATAAATAAAATAAATATTAGGAAAACGGATGACCCTGAAGGAGATCCTTGTAACTTCCCGCTAATTCCATACCTAAGCGCTTGAAATTGCACTTATAATGTTGTTGAGCTCTTCAAGCTCCAAATTACAATTTATGTGTTATTTTGAGCTTTATGAGCTCAAAGAGCTGTTCTATGCTTTTGAGCCCTTCGAGCTCATATCTTGCGTTTGACATATCTATTATTAATTTATAATTGTGTTAATTAATTTAAAATAATTTAAATGACACAATAAGAGGTTATTATTATTTTTATGATATATTTATTTATTTTTATTTAAATAAACGACCAAATTTATGGAGAACTAATTGAGAGCAATATCACGTCACTGAATTATTTATTTTTTTTTTTTTTATTTTATTGACGGTACTTTTATCTCGGATAAAATTTTATCCCGGATTGAAAAACTGGCCCTTAGAGTTCAAAACGGAAATTTTAATCTATCTTGAAATATTTTGAAAATTTGGAACAGAAAATTTTTCCATTAAATTTTTGGGCTACCCCATTTTGCTCGCACCCTCTTCCCCTATATCTAATTTTTAAATGAAGTAAAAAAATTACACTTACCACTTAGTAACGTAAATGTGATAGCAAATAGAGGTTCATTTGGTTGTTTAGATATTGCACTGATGTCAACTTGAAATCGAACTTGTCGTTGAAACATCGCAGGAGCAGTACTGCTACGTTTGTATTCAACTTTAAAAGACAATGGCGAACTTACGCTATGTGACAATTCAGCTATCTATAAGGATTAATTTATTTTATATTAGTAAGTATTCTGACAATAAGGAAAACACTGATCAAAAAATGAATAAGAAATAGTTACTGATAAAAAAGCATGGATAAGATCAGCTTTTACGCTTGCCAAAGGTTTGCCTTTTACAAGAACTGTAAATGTTTCGTCTTTTTCAGAGGCCATAAGGCTACCAAACCAAGATTTTTTTGTAAGTTCAGGTGAAGAATCCGGTGTAAGATGGACCTAAATGAATATAGTTAAATAATTATTTAATGTATTTACGAAGTATATTTTAAAGTCGCAGAAAAAAAGACTATTTTCTTTTCGAGTCTGCTATGAAAATTTTTTAGTTTATTATATTTCAAAAGACTTCTTAGAAATCAGTTAAATTATAAAAGTTTCAGGGATCATTTGACGTTTCTTAACATTAATTTTTTTTTTTTTGTAAAAATTTCAAGTATCTAACTCAAGATTTAGTGAAAGAGATCTTAAATAATGACAATCTTACGAACATATTTTAATGGGATGCTCGAAATAAAAAATAAAAAATAGTCGATTTTTCGCGTCATCATAACATATCTATTTGATTAGTAATAATTAAATTGCCTCTTCAGTGCTTGTAAGCAGTTTGCGTCGATGAAAACGCGGACTTCCCAAAAACGAATTTTTAATTGTAGTTAAACGAGATCTCCAATGGTGGGCTCCGGTTCCAGTGCCCGTATGTGGAGAACCTGGAGGTGTAATACCTACTGAAATTACAAAGATGATTAATATTAAACAACGAATTTTCCTTTGATATATAATTTTTATAAAATGTAATTTTTACTCGATTGAATTTCATTCAATTCTATTGCAACATTTGAAAATGGTTGACTAGTAGCCGAAGTCGTTGAAACAGTGGTAGTTGTAGTAGTACTGGCCATTGTACCGTTTCCACTGGCTGATCCACTAGTAATAGATAAACGATGTGGACTTGGATTTTGCCCATGATGTGAGTTGGGTACTGCTCTATGTGGACTTAAAAGACCGGCGACATTGGGACTATGCATAGGTGAACTCCCTGGTGTTGAGGCATGGGAATGTGATAAATGTGTATGCGATCCAGTACTTGGTGAACGTCGGGTATGATGTCGTGCACTATCAAAAGAGTTAATAATTCTTGTTTTAAAATTAAGTAATCATAAATTGGATAATAAATAAAATTTTAATCTCTTACCTGGATTGTCTTCTTGGTGTCAAAGGTGACCCATGACTAATTTGCCCTAAATTCAATGTTGTATTCCCATTAACCCGACAAGTGTCCACTCGCTTTCGAGGTGGGTCTACTTCTGATTGTCCTGAAGAACCTCTTATTCCGACTCGAATGCCTTCTAACTCATCTTCACAAGCTGGTCTTCTTCTTTTCCTCTCCAATAGGAGAAAATAGATTACTTTTTCAGTATTGTGGCTATCAAAAATTTAACAGTTATTATTATTAATGATATTATTGTTGTTTTTTAAATAACAGTTTATAAAAAAAATGAATATTATACTTAGGACTTAGCAATTCTTGAATAAGTTTATCGCGTTCTTTAAAACATCCTAAACTTGCGATAGCTTGAAGTACATCTGGATCAATTAACTCGACGGACGGAATGACATGTGTTTGTACTACTTCCATCATGGAAAGTTCCAATTCGAGTTCACCTTTTCCAGCAGCTGTTACCCAGATATGCTTATTTATGTCCGCCAACTATAAAACAATTCAAATTATCATTAAAATTTTATTCATATATTTATTTACTAAATAAGTATCAGAGCAAAAAATCGACTGTTTCTCCTGAGAAAAGATGGTAGTCCATCTTTTTAAAAGAGTGAACAATTTTTAAGAGACATTAAAATAAAAATCTTCAAAAATTTCGAAAATTGAATTTTTTTATTATTAATCCTTTATATTGTTATTATATTATTCTCTACATTAAAACTATGTATAATCTCAAAATTTTAATTTCTAAAAACTGCTCAAGGTTTTTAACTTTCAAAGTAGTAGAAACTACTTAAGATACTTTCGAGTGACCGGAACTTAAGGTAGATATTTGAAAAGATTATAAAGTAATGAATTGAGTGTAAAATTATATAGGAGCAAAATTAAGTCTTGAGAACAAAAAAAAACCCAATGTTTAAATTTAAACAAATTTTGAGCGACCTCAAAAGAATTTTCAATCAATCTAATTTTGTAAGAGACTCCTAAAAAACGAAAAATTAGCATATTTTCAAAAAAGATTTGAAGGAAATATTTTATTTTCTGCGCCATCCTAACGAGTATTAACAATTAATAATTTAAAAATAAATAAATATTACCGTGAGTCGTTTGTCAGGATTTACTTCAATCATTCCGCGAAGAAGATTCTGACAATCAGGTGGTACAAAATGTGGAATATGAAATACACCTCGTTTTACTTTTTCTAAAAGTTGCCGTAGATTATCATCATCAAAGGGCAATGCACCAACAAGGAGAGCATACAAAATTACTCCACATGACCATACATCTGCTTTCCGACCATCGTATTTTTCACCCTACAATAGTATAATTCCATTTGTTATCAAGTCTTCAATTGTTAAATAATATTTAAATAAAAAATTAAAATATATTATGTATTTACTCTAATCACTTCCGGACATGCATAATGAGGAGATCCACAACTTGTTTCTAGCATAGATCCAGCTGGTTGCAATGATGCCATTCCAAAGTCTGCTATTTTAATATTATTTTTCTCGTCAAGTAATAAATTTTCCGGCTTCAAATCTCTGTGACTGTGTATGAAATAAATATAGATCAGAAATAGTCAATATTATACAAAAAAAAAAAAAACTAAATTCTGTATGGTAAGCTTTCAATAGTTTAAAATAATTTAAACCTTATGAAAATAAAAAATTTTTCTGTGTAGAATATATAATTGATAAAAAAAGTAAACATATTTACCAAATATTGTGACTATGACAAAAATCTAATGCAGATATTATTTGCCTAAAAAATCGTCTCGCCTCTTTAGGCGTAAGTCTAGCTTTTTTCACTAAATAATCAAAAAGTTCACCTCCTGACACATGTTCTAATACAAGATATCTATAACAAAAAGTTATGATTGATTTAATCAATTTACTCAGATATTGAGCATGTATTCTGCAAACAATGTAGAAAGAAGACATACAAGTATTTTTTATTTTCATAAACGTCTGAAAGTCCAAGTACATGTGGATGATCAATGAGCTTCATAATAGCAATTTCACGTTCCACCTTCATCAACACGGACTCCGACAGTTTTTCACGGTTGATAATTTTAATTGCTACTTTTTTACCTAATACACAATGAACTCCAAGCTTCACCAAACCTGATAAAAATAATAAATCTTTAATTATATAACCTATGTTAAACTAAAGAAATTTATAATTTAATACATAAAAATAATTTTATTAATCTAGTTAAACTGAGAAGAAGTCAAAGGTTAAAAAAATAAGAAAATGAAGAGTATTTTTTCTAAAATACACATGAATATCAATTTAATTAATTAATTATTTAATTTTATAACTAATGATGTAATGATTTTAATTTTAAAATTTAACATGAATTTACCAGCTTTTGGTGAAATTAATCTTAATCATCCTATTGTGCAAAAAATATTATTAAGGAAAAACTATGAATCGGTACTGTTAAGTTCAATTGATTGACAGAAAAAAAATTTACATATAAATACACTAAGAAGCTATGAAAATAATAACAATACGTGTTTCTTCACTCTCGATATGTTTATTTCCTACAAGGCAATCGAGCAAAAAAAATCGTCACAGAAAGTTGCTGTAATAATTTTTGTGAATATATAAACTATATTCATCGATATTTTTACCGCGCTTGTCAGTATAGTAAAGATACGTGAAGACAATGTGTTTTTTTTATATTTACATATGTTTGACCACTCTACTTGTTTTGAAAGTAGATGCGCTTGCGCGAATGCTCAAATGTATTTTTAATGTTTTATTACAATTTTAATTAAATTAAATAAGTTCAAGTACTATCCGAAAAAGTTTAATTTTATATAAATATTGTGCATCGATCTTAGTATCAAATATATATTAATAACTTCATAGGAATCATTATTTACATAAGTAAGAATAATCTTTTCGATTTGATTGAATGAGGCCAATGCGATTGATTCGCGTCGGTACAGCAGCATAAATTCTTGCTTTTATAAAAGAATACTCAAGTAAATTTGTGATGATTAATATTACAACAAAATGTACAAAAGGACATCATACACAGAAAAAAAAATAGAATAGATCATATTCCTATGTAGAATAGTAACCATTACTATGTTACATAGTAACTGAAATTTTTGTGAGAATTCTGAGTAAATTTGATGGGAATATTCTTGGAAATTGTGATGAAAATATGAGTAATAGCTCATTCAGTGCGGAATTAAATTCTGAAAATAATGTTGTTGTTTTTTTTTATTTTTTTGATAAAAATTTCAATTTGTTATTAAAAGAAACCATAAACAAAATAAAAAATCTTAGTTTTGCGTAAATAACTCAATAACTATAGGTGATATCAAAAATCGGAAGAAGATCCTTAAAGAAGAAAAAATTAATAAAAAAAGTCTTGACTTCCGGAACTCTAGCTTCAAAAACAATTATTTTTATTTAATTTTGAACTCAATAACTATAGGTGATATCAAAAATCGGAAGAAGATCCTTAAAGAAGAAAAAATTAATAAAAAAAGTCTTGACTTCCGGAACTCTAGCTTCAAAAACAATTATTTTTATTTAATTTTGAAAATAGGGTTCCGCGCGACTTTTATCACACGGCTGCGCCGATGTTTAAATTAAATACGACAGCAGTCGCGCGGAACCCTATTTTCAACATTAAATAAAAATAATTGTTTCTGAAACTAGAGGTCCGGAAGTCGAGATTTTTTTTTTATTAATTTTCTTATTTTTAAGGATCTTTTATTTTCCTATTTTTGATATCACCTATAGTTATTGAGTTATTTACGAAAAACTGAGACTTTTTATTTTGTTTATGTTTTTTTTAATAACAAATTGAAATTTTTATCAAAAAAATAAAAAAACAACAACATTATTTTCAGAATTTAACTCCACACTGAATGAACTATTGCTCATATTTTTATCACAATTTCTAAGAATTTTACCCGCAAATTTACACAGAATTCTCACAAAAATTTCCGTTACTATGTAACATAGTAATGGTTACCATTCTACATAGGAATAAGATCTATTTTTTTTTCTCCGTGTAATTTTTATTTCTGGTCCATGAAATAAGATAAAGGAATACTAAGGTAAAAGCCCCAATAGATGATCATGTACCAGTATATGATCACCCCATGTATTTGTATATCTATATTCACAAATATAGGTATACAAATACATGGTTACAAATAAATGGAGTGATCATATACTGGTACATGATCATCTATTGGGGCTTTTACCTTACTTATTTAAACTAGATATAATACGAATTAGTTCATTCATAAGTAACGCAAAGTTGAATAAACATTAGTATTAAATATCTACATCTCTTAACTAAAGTTCTGAGAGATTAATGAATAGATAACTTGTCTTTAAACTCCGTGTACCAATGTTCGCGCCCAGGACTGAGACGAAAACTTGATTTTAAAAAATAATTTGAAATTACTGCTAAAATGATAAAAAAAAATTTGATTTTAATACTAAATAGACGTTTATGTTTCTGATTGAGGTAATTGTCCTGAGTATCTTTTTCCACGACAGTTAAAAATTTACCATAACTGAAATTAATGACATTTGATCTTTAATTTTCAACTTTGACAGTTTACGCACAAAACTTATCCGATTGAGGCACGGCTTCCCTTCGTCTATATTTATGTATATCTATTTCTCATGGAAAAATAACTCACGAATTTTGATTATACTGACACAATGAAAAAAAAAAAAAAAAAAAAAAAAAAACTCATTGCAATGCAAAAGATTTTTCATTGATGCAAGTAATAAAATCAACTAATTACCGATGTAAGCAAATTTTGAAATGGTAATTATGAATTTTAAATGTGCTAGACATTTAATTATATTAATTATGAAGTACTCAACATGTTTTTAATTTAGTCGACTAGCGTAGTAAAATTTCATAAATTTTCTATTCATTTTTTTGGAGTGATTTTTTCTTGACTGAGTCAACATTGATAACATTATTGAAAATATAAATTTAAAATTGATTTGATTAAAACCGATATACATGTATTTTTAGATTTTTACATGTAAAAAACATGTGTATTTTAATCGAAATAGAACAAAATAATAAATATGTCAAAAGAAAAAGGAATATTAATAACTAATGAAGACGTAGAATTATTAAAGCATTTTTAAAAGAGAATTATAAAACAGAATTTTAGAAAAAACTTTTATAAGTAAACTACCAGTTTGGCCTTTTCCTAAAGTCTTTTCAAGCCGATAAGGCCCAACATACTGATGAGTCTCTTGAGTATTTAATACGACCGGACTTTCCTTGCCCGGCACCGCCGTCATGTTGGTTTTTGTGTCAGCCAAGTTTGAATCCAAATGTGTGTAGCTGGTCCAAGGAGCTCTTTCTCACAGCCACCTCAAACTGGCGAAGATCACACTCATTTCCTCAATGGTTTGTTAAAAATAATTATTTGCGACTTTGAGTGATCATTTTTTCTCATCGTCCCCGGGTTGAAATCGTGCACATTTTTTGCACGAGTTCTAACAAGACGCCGGTGTCGCCGAAAAGGCTGAAATTTTGCCTTCGTTCGCATTCTTATTTTAATGATATTAATGCTCTATTGAGATGAAATTCAATAAAGAATAAACATCTGAGCTGTAAATGAATTTTCTTTGAAGAGTGAGGATAAAATTTTATCATATAATAGACTATTTTACAGCAAATATCTATATCGAGTAGTTGGTGATTTTTCCAGGTACATTTTTTGACTTTTTATAATGAAATGAATATTGGTGCCAGTTTATTACTGAATCCATATTTCTGTTGATAAAGAAGCAAAACAATAATAATTTGACATACAAAATATGTATGTATGTGTATATAAAAAATTTGTTTCTATGATCTTGTTTCTTAGTTATGTACGTTTAAAATAGCACACTTGGACACATTCGAACGAGAAAAATCTTTCCAAAATTGTAATGCTTGAATCATTTGTATGTCACGATTATAAGTATTTATGTCACTTATGGGATTTCCGTAAGTTTTTTGAAAAAGTTAAGTAACTACATTTTGTTATTGCTCAACCCCTTATTATCACTGTCAGCACTCATTTTAAAAGCTTCATCACTTAATTTCACCATTCACTTTGCCCAACCCAATGTCAAGGTAACTGTAAAAGTAATTTATTTAACAACAGATTCAAGTTACTATTTATGAGTATAAATGTATATGCGTGTATGATTATGTGTGTGCAAATACGTGTGGATAAATTTATGTATTTATGTAATATTGATTAAAAAAAAAAATTAACAAACACCTATTCAATGAACACCAAATATTTTTGCTTAAAATGTTTATAAATTTTGTAATCCCCGTGTACTTTATGAAATACAAACCACACACCAAATAGAGAACGAAGCTAAGGGTAAAAAGTAAGGCGCTCCCAGTTCGATTATGTGCTCGAGGCAAATGCGCGCGCATATTTCTTTCGTGTGTTGCAGAGTCACCCCCTGATATAGAGCGCCCACTGAGCAATATAAAACATGATGTACTCGTGGCTTTGCTTTTCCACACTTGCGCTAGTCTAACCCACTAATAAAAAATACTGCAGACACGTCTAGTTTATAATTATAATCTTTCCATTGAAGTGTATCATTATCTGATGTGTATGCAAGATACAGCAAGTTATTTAAGTTACAAGAAATTGAATCATTATTTGTACAAAGGCTAGTTTAAATGCAATGACAGAAGTTGATTCATCTTGTTGAACAAATGACGAAAAATATTTGAAACACCCCTAAAAGCTTGAGGGGAATAAGTATGGTGAATCAACACCGGAAAGATCTTTTAATAGAATGATACATAGCTGATGCTGATATGGATATTGATACGAACACAATAATAAGATTTCGAAAATTTCAGAATTACACATCTAAATCAATTGATTTTCGAGAACTTTGAAATTTCTACATTTTATATTGATTTAATTGAAGTTAAACTATTGCATCTTCCCTTATAATGCAACTCTTTAAAAATTTTTGCTATTTTCTAACTCAACTCGTCGAATTAGGTAGAAAAATACATTTGGTCCAAACGTTTTCTACATGTATTTATAATGAAGCTCAATATACTTACTTTTTAGACGATTCTCGAGATAAAAATCAACGAACAGTCAAATCGTTTGGACAGTTTAGAAACAACAGCACTTAAAAATATTTGAGAAATGCAAAACGACAGATTTTTGCTGGTTCTTCTTAAAATAATTTCTAAATGCAATGACATCGAATTTCTAGAAAATGCATCTGATAACTTCTTAAATAAGTTTCAATTTATTTTTCTAGATCAAAAACTACTTATCGTTCTATCTTTATTCGTCTGTCGAATGATCTTTTCAAGTTTCCACTTTAAAAATGATCAATTTAAGAAATTATAGATTTATAGATTTTGTTTATTAATGCCAAGGCACAGGCCAAATGGTAATTTCTATTACATAGTATAACAATTTTTACAAGAAAACAATTTCTGTTTCTGTGAGTACATAATATAGTATTGCACAAAAATTATTTTAAATAATTCGTATATAAACATAATAAAAACAAATTAAACTTAGAATTTAATACAGAAAATAATAACTTAAAAATATAATATTTTGATGTCATCAAATCAGATGATAACTCAACATAATAAATCTGCAATTGCACTGATTTTATCCATATTTTAATTTTCAATCATTAAAGTAATTAAGCTCAAATTTGTGATTTATTTGACGTCGTTTTAATTATCAAGATTTAATAAGTAATTGAAAACTTCTTTTTTAAAGACTTGCAAGCTACTCGAATTTACGATTTCGCGTGGAAGTTCTTCCCAAAACCTTATTACAATTACTAAAAAAGATTTTAGAGAAAAAAGAAATTAGAATATTCTTGATTTTTAAAATGTGTGTGTGTGTGTGTTTTTTTTTCTCTTTAGGGGGGGGGGGAATCCTTTTTACGGATTCTAGGCATAGATGTTGGCCCGGATATGTGGCGACTCGACGCAGCGTCATACTAAAACTTGACGCTGACGCCCCTACCCACTAAACCCTAAACCCCTTTCCTCTTTCCTCTAATCCCTCATGGAAACCGCCGTCAGGCATTACTTCGTGAGGGGAGGATCTAGCTACTGCTCTTCCTTCTGGTGGCTAAGGTGTTAACTACCTTCCTATATGTATGAGTCCATATATGATCAGATCTGATCATATAT